AAAAATCCCGGATTTTTGGAAAGTTGGGAAGGACAGGAGGGAATTTTTCCCATTTTTTGGAGCAGCTGAGCAGGGAAAGAGGCAGATTTTTGGGATCAACTTCTCTTTCCCTCTAGAAAAATCCCCCAAATCCCCAAAAAAACCTCTTCCAAAGACCTGTGGGATCATCAAATCCCAAAATTCCAAGACTGGGATCCAGAACTCCTCGTTCCCAGCAGTGAGGAGGGGCTGGAAAATCCTGGAATTCCAGGATAGTTTGGATTCAAAGGGACTCTAAGGATCATCTCATTCCATGGGCAGGGAGAAATTCCAACAGGGAATCTTGGTTTTCCTGGGATCCAAGAGGATCCACACTCCAGGAATGTGGTGTTTGGGTGGGAAATCCTGGAATTCCAGGATAGTTTGGATCGGAAGGGATCCCAAGGATCATCTCATTCCATGGGCAGGGACAACTTCCAAAGGTTTTCCCTGGATCCCAGAGGATCCACACACCAGGAATGTGGTGTTTGGGTGGGAAATCCCGGAATTCCGGGATAGTTTGGATTAAAAGGGATCCTGGAATGGTTTCCTGGGATATTCCCGGAGTCTCTCCCGCTTTTCCCGGAGTCTCATTCCCCCTTTTCCCTTTTTTTCCCAGAGAGCTCCGGCCGAGGAAATCACCTACGAGACGCTGAAGAAAGCCATAGGTAAGGAGGGAAAATCCGGGAATCTGGGAATGACTGAGGTGGGAAAATCCCTCCAGGATCCCGGTTCTCCAGCCCCTTCCCAGCTCCCTTATTCCCAGTTCTCCAGCCCCTTCCCAGCTCCCTCAGCCATTCCCGGTTTTCCAACCCCTTCCCAGCTCCCTCGGCCATTCCCAGATTTCCAGCCCCTACCCAGCTCCTGCAGCCATTCCAGGTTCTCCAGCCCCTTCCCAGCTCCCTTATTCCCAGATTTCCAACCCCTTCCCAGCTCCCTCAGCCATTCCTGGTTTTCCAACCCCTTCCCAGCTCCCTTGGCCATTCCCAGATTTCCAGCCCCTACCCAGCTCCTGCAGCCATTCCCTGTTTTCCAACCCCTTCCCAGCTCCCTCAACCGTTCCAGGTTCTCCAGCCCCTTCCCAGCTCCCTCAGCCATTCCTGCTGCTCCAGCCCCTTCCCAGTTCCCTTATTCCCAGATTTCCAACCCCTTTCCAACTCACTCATCATTCCAGGTTCTCCAGATCCTTCCCAGCTCCCTCAGATATTCCTGCTTTTCCAGCCCCTTCCCAGCTCCCTCAGCCATTCCCAGTTCTCCAGCCCCTTCCCAGTTCCCTTATTCCCATATTTCCAGCCCCTTCCCAGCTCCCTCAGCCATTCCAGGTTCTCCAGCCCCTTCCCAGCTCCCTTATTCCCAGATTTCCAGCCCCTTCCCAGCTCCGTTATTCCCAGATTTCCAGCCCCTTCCCAGCTCCTTTATTCCCTGTTTTCCAGCCCTTTCCCAGCTCCCTCAGATATTCCCAGATTTCCAACCCCTTCCCAGCTCCCTCATCCATTCCCAGATTTCCATCCCCTTCCCAGCTCCCTCAGCCATTCCCTGTTCTCCAGCCCCTTCCCAGCTTCCTCAGCCATTCCCAGATTTCCAGCCCCTTCCCAGCTCCCTTATTCCCAGTTTTCCAGCCCCTTCCCAGCTTCTGCAGCCATTCCCAGTTCTCCAGCCCCTTCCCAGCTCCCTCAGATATTCCCTGTTTCCAGCCCCTTCCCAGCTCCCGCAGCCATTGCTGGTTTTCCAGCCCCTTCCCAGCTCCCTTATTCCCAGTTTTCCAACCCCTTCCCAGCTCCCTCAGCCATTCCCTGTTCTCCAGCCCCTTCCCAGCTCCCTTATTCCCAGATTTCCAGCCCCTTCCCAGCTCCCTCAACCATTCCCAGTTCTCCAACCCCTTCCCAGATCCTTTGGCCATTCCTGCTTTTCCAGCCCCTTCCCAGCTCCCTTATTCCCAGATTTCCCGCCCCTTCCCACCTCCCTTATTCCCAGATTTCCAGCCCCTTCCCTCCTCCCTTATTCCCAGATTTCCAGCTCCTTCCCAGCTCCCTCAGATATTCCCTGTTCTCCAGTCCCTTCCCAGCTCCCTCAGCCATTCTAGGTTCTCCAGCCCCTTCCCAGCTCCCTTATTCCCAGATTTCCAACCCCTTCCCAGCTCCCTCGGCCATTGCTGGTTTTCCAGCCCCTTCCCAGCTCCCTCAGCCATTCCCGAATTTCCAGCCCCTTCCCAGATCCTTTGGCCATTCCTGCTTTTCCAGCCCCTTCCCAGCTCCCTCATTCCCTGTTCTCCAGCCCCTTCCCAGCTCCCTCAGCCATTCCCAGTTTTCCAACCCCTTCCCAGCTCCCTTATTCCCAGATTTCCAGCTCCTTCCCAGCTCCCTCAGCCATTCCAGGTTCTCCAGCCCCTTCCCAGCTCCATTATTCCCAGGTTCTCCAGCCCCTTCCCAGCTCCCTCAGCCATTCCCAGATTTCCAACCCCTTCCCAGCTCCATTATTCCCAGATTTCCATCCCCTTCCCAGCTCCCTCAGATATTCCCAGATTTTCAACCCCTTCCCAGCTCCCTCAGATATTCCTGCTGCTCCAGCCCCTTCCCACCTCATTCCTGGATTTCCAGCCCCTTCCCAGCTCCCTCAGCCATTCCCAGATTTCCAACCCCTTCCCAGCTCCCTGGGCCATTCCTGCTGCCCCGTGGGATTGTGGGATTTTCCGGGCTCATCCCTGATCCCTGTTTTCCCGGTGTTCCAGCAGACAGCGTGGCCGTGGAGGAGCAGGAACGGGAACGGCGCCGTCAGGTGGTGGAAAAATTCCAGAAGGCTCCGTTCGAGGAAATCGCCGCCCACTGCGGAGCCAGGGTGAGAATTCCCGGGAATGGGAATTCCCGGCTGGAATTCCAGCCTCGATCCCGGCGGTTATCCCAGACTTTCTGTGGATCCTTTTTTCCAGGCAACGCTGCTCCAGAGCAAACTCAACCAGATCTTCGAGATCACCATCCGGTGCGTTTGGGATTCCCACATGGATTTGGGATTGGGGGGGAATTCCTGGATGGATTTGGGATGGAGGGATTCCTGGATGGA